CTCGAGCGACTGGCTTTGATGATGCTTGACGAGGTACTTTTAAATCTTCGTTTCCTTCAGGGTCGTATTACTGAATGTCCGTCCGGGATTTCGACCCTACAGGTGCATATTCTGAATGAGGAACGTGGCGCTATACTTGAAACTGTGGTCGCCCGGATGAGAGTATCGGCGAGAGATATGCCAGTCAGGGTCGTGGCTTTATCGGCGACGGTAAGTCAACCAAGTTGCTGATCAAGCAGCAAGGTACAGCTCAGCTGATGGACGTATGTGTACAGATCCCGAATGTGGAGGATGTGGCACGATGGCTTCGACCGACAATGCCTAATTCAAGTGGTGTCTTTGAAGCTGGTGGTCTGAACCCGGGTGTAGCAGGTGACTCGAATGCCGCTTTGCAGCTACCTATGGCAAAGGTTTTCAAAGTGAGTGTTCACGTTCCACTATCGGTTCATGCTTCCACCAGATATCCCTACTGACTTCATGCGTCACTAGTTTGGGGAAGACTTTCGTCCGACAAAGCTCACCAGAATAGTCAAAGGCTTTCCATTCCGAGGCGACAATCCATTCCCAGTAATTAATCGGATGATACAAGAACTGTTTCCGATCGTCTGCGACTACTCGAAAGGCAAACCCGTGTTGATCTTTGCAGCCACAAGAAATCTTTGTGGCAAGGCCGCTAGCGCACTCGTCAACGCTTACCAGGCCGCACAGGACGCTGGTAGAAGATTACCATGGAGCATCCATAATCGAGCCAAGATGTCATTCGAAAACAAGCAACTCGAGGAACTTTCGACGTATGGCATCGCTTTTCACCACGGAGGCTTGAGCCTGGATGACAGGCGCAAGGTGGAGACAGCTTTCAGATCTGGCGTCATCATGGCGATTGTTGCGACATCGACACTAGCGGTAGGAGTCAATCTTCCAGCTCATACGGTCATATTGGCTGGAACATACCAGTGGACAGGATCCGGTATGGTTGAGCTTTCAGACCTCGACGTCCAACAAATGATCGGGAGAGCCGGAAGGCCACAATACGACACAGAAGGGATTGCCATAATCCTATGCAGCGAAAACAATGAAGACCGATATCGAGACCTGGTCAACTCCCGCACCACTATAGAAAGCTGCCTGCACGAACATTTGACGGAACACATCAACACTGAAATCGGCCTCCGAACGATCACATGTCTGGAAGAAGGGCAAGAATGGATCAGGAATTCGTTCCTCTATGTGCGTATCCAACAAAACCCGAGGCACTACTCTGGCATCTTGGGTTCGACCGGAACGTCAACACAGCGATGGCAAGAAACTTTGGACATGTTGGTAGCCAAAGCAGTAGAAAAGTTGCAGCAAAACGAAATGGTCCAGATGCAAGAAAGCAGCGGCACACCTGAGCCAGTAGAGATCCGAAACATATCTGCAACCGTCTTTGGAGAAGCAATGTCTGCCAATTGCCTCAGCTTCGAGACTATGTGTGGAATACTTGATATTCCAGCGAAAGCGAGTCTCGAAAGCCTTTTCCACACACTATCGGGTGCTCACGAGTTTGCAGATATGAAACTCCGGAACGGCGAAAAAGTCTTTTATAAATCTTTGGCCAAAGATCCCGACATGCGATTTTCTATGCCTAATGGCACCTCTCCTTCGACCTCTGCACACAAAGCCTTCATCCTGATCCAGATGACACTGGGAAACATTGACTGGGAGCCATACAAGGAACAACTCAAGCAAGGAGCCAGCGGTCCTGCATTGGATTCTTACAATGTATTCCGAGTTGCACCTCGAATCTGCAAGGCGATCGCGACAGTCGCACTGCAAAGGGAAGACGGCGAAACACTGAAGAATGCTCTCGCATTGCACCGAATAATTGGCGGCAAAGCGTGGCCGAATTCCGCCGTCATCTTCCGTCAGATCGATAGCATAGGTTCCAAATCCATCGCGGTTTTGGGTGCCAAGGGCTTCACTACATTTGCACGACTAGCAAAAACAGATCCGCGACACATAGAGATGCTTCTCAACCGGCAGACAGGGTTCGGCAATAAAATTGTCACAGCAGCAAAAGGCTTCCCGGAGTTTCACGTCACGGTCACCCAGCTGACAAAGGTCCCCGAAAGTGCCAAAGCACCGGTCGATATACAGTTCAAGTTGGAGATAACTGCTGATGGTCCGATAGCCGGTCCACCTAGCAAGAAACAAGCGCAGTCGAGGAGTATATCGGTGCTTGCGCTCCTAAGTGACGGTACCTACGTCGCATATCGAAAAGCAAACGCTAGAACGCTATCGATTGAAGAACTAAGCATGACTTTGATGGCTCGCATTCAGTACACGAATCAAAAGTTTCAGGTCATCGTCGGCTTGGATCAAGTGTCTGGCTGCAGCACGCAGGTCGACTGCAAGCCTAACGTACCGGACGGCGTTCTTGACCCGGCAGTGACAAATGGCAGCGAAGAACGGGTTGAAACAGAGGAAACGCTGCCGCAAGAGAAGGCCAACGCGCCACCAAAGAAGCTCAAAGCCGGTGCTTCCTTCGAACATGCGAAGGTAGATGATTTCGACGAATTAGAAATGGACATTGTGGAACCTCCTCGCCTGCCAAACGGTAATTGGCCTTGTTCGCATGCCTGCAGCCAGCAGAATAAATGCAAGCATGTTTGTTGCAAGGAAGGCTCGAAGACCAAACCCAAGAAACTCAAGCGGAACGCCTCTGGTCCCGGAAAGCCGCCGTCAAACAAGGGTACCTCTGGGAGCACGTCGAACAAGAGCGACGCACGAAAAAAGCTATCGAAAGCCCAACACCCGTCCACAGAGCTCTTGCGCAACAGCGACACGGAAGGCGAGGATGAAAAGGTGGTGATCAATCGCATGTTAGTCAGAGAAGACAGTTTCGATTCGCTTTTACTGGATTTGCCCCAAGTCATTTTACCAGATGATTCGAAGGAGTTTGACGATCCATCTTTTGATGCCGTCCTAGGAGAAATGGATGTCAACGTAGATGTTCCACCACCTGTGCGAGGTACCAAGAGACCGGCATCACCTACATTCAATCTCGCGCACCAAGAGCCGAGCCACAGGCGGGAGAACAATCCGAGAAAGGACCTCGCCGAAACCGAGCTGCATCGAGGAAAGAGACCTGCCAGACCGCAGCCGGTCAAACGTACTCGAACTCGCCTTGAACTCGACACAGATGTCGAGGGAAGAACGAATCACTACAATGGTCTCACTACTACGCTTGGTGCCAAGAATGATGCTCCCTTACATGTCGCTCCTCTAGACAACCCTCGACCCCGAAAACTGTTTTGGATGACATCCGATGATTCTCCTTCTTCCACACCATTCGACAAAGCGCATGAGTTCATTCCCAATGGGCTGCTTCCATCCCAAGAGCCTTCAAAATCGGCGAATGTCGCATCGAATGGCGGTACGGAGGATATTGATGCGGTCAGCTTGGGAGAGGACGATGACTTTGTAGCACTGGGTGACCTTGATCAGTATTTGGATCGACCAACAGTATCTCAGATCGAAAAGGTACCTAAAGCTCAGCCCATCGCTCCAGCCGTCAAACGTGGGGGAATTGTAGTCGATCGCATCAAGTCCAACGGTCACAGTCCACTCCTAGACTTGCCCGTAGAGATCAGTGTTACGAGCGTGCCGACTAGCAACACATGTCAGAATGCCGTGCAAGGAGGAGCAACCAGGTCCAGTCGCGAAACCGACGCCGACCAAGGAGAGGACGAAGAGGAAGAGGATGGTCTCGCAGACTTTGAGAAGTGGATTAAGGATGGAGGGATGACAGTCAAATAGGGGATTGATGCATGCCGGTGTATAAGTCCGATAGAAAGGCACGGGGGTGGCAGAGAGGCGGCAAGGCGTAGACTGGCAAGGCGATGAGTAGGAGTCTACGCCAATGGATGGCGGCTGCGTTACACCTGCATTTTGTTGCCCGAGAATATGGACAACGTCAGGAGCTTGCTAGTAGCGTCGTGTATTGACTCGTCCCCAATCCAGTCAATGGGGTCTAACCGCAACAGACCCTTGTGCTAGAACTACTGTATCTGAGCGGGTGTGCACGCCTAGCAATATGGTCCTCCATTGTGCATGAATATTATGGACTCGGATTTCTGGATTACATGCTTCCTCGTAGGTCCGTGCTGTGGCAGGTTTCAAGACGACCACTTCTGCCCCGGTATGTCCGCCTTGTTCCACCATTCATGAATATTGCAGGATTTGCAGGTCAACCAAATAGGAATTACCGGCTGTTACTCACTAACACGCTCAAGGTCGTTGGATCGAGCCATCTGTCAGAGTCTGCGAGACCATCCTCGTCCTCTTCGTCCTTTCCTTGGTTGGCATCGGTTTCACAACCGGACCTGGTTGCTCCTCCCTGCACTGCGTTCTGGCGTATGCTGCTAGTCATTTCGATGCTGCTGATTGCAAAGGTTTCCACAACTCCCCTGTCTTGAAGGCCACGAATAGAACAAGAAGTGGTCCACGTCGCCTCTGCACCAAGTTCACCACTTGCGCATTGAGGATAGAGGTTCAACATTCACTCACCTGAAAGTCCGAAAGTCAGCATATTTTCCTCACAATGTTACCCGCTCGCATCCCACTTCTCTTGAATCCACAAACTTTCTCTACTATACCTGTGTTGATTTTCCGCCTTTTTACCAGTGGCCAGGTGGCGCCTTGCCTCTTCTCCGGGGATTAGGCCAATGGAGGGGTGAAAAACGGAACAGGGTAGGTGCGAGGTTGACGATTCGTTGTGGTTGTAAAGCGGTGGAGGATTACATGACGATCGTGTCGCAACGCAAGGCGTGAGTCTGTTCATTGTCTGCGTGTAGCACTCTGCGAAATGGATGGATATGTGGCTGTTACAACTCGCGCGCGAGATGACGAGTCAGCAACCACGCGGATGCTAACCGGGAAGAGAGCGATCGAGCGAGTGGGACGCACAAGCCAAAGAGGTCACAGTCATATAACATGTTTGGACTTTCTTCATATCGGCAGCCTGCGTTGCACAGTGGTAGTGCGTAGCTTTCCTATCTGTGAGGTTATTTAGCCCCATTTTCAGACAGGCTAAGGTCGTGGGTTCGATCCCCACCGTGGGTTTTCCCTTTTTGACGCATTATTTTTTCGCTCGCTCATCTTGATTTATTGAACGCTCTCTGGGATTTTCCCGGTGTTCTTTCTGAAACTTTCCGCTTTCCGGGTCTGACTGAGGGGGTTTTCGCACCTTATACGATCCTTTTCTATAAATCACTCTTTGTGTTGGGGGGTTTTTAGGTTTTTGGGTTTCACCTTTCACCTTCACCCTTCACCAGTTTCACCTGTACTTTGTATGAATATCCTTGACATCCCGCATCACCGTGTTTGCCATTTGGGTAGCTTAGTGGCTTTGATGATATATGATGGTAGTGCAAGGGGCAATGCCACAAGCGGAACCTTCTGCGATCACTCCGTCCAGAGCGTCGACAACGCCTCTTTAGCCGCGACACCCTGCTCGACAAATCGAACGACTTCCCATGATCCAAGGCGAGGGGAGTTACCAAGCTTCTCGGCAGTCCCAGAGCCAGCTATGTTTGCATGTATGACTACGCTCTAGGCTGATGATGGTGTAAATTTGTTCAACCGATTCTTAGAACTGTTCTCGGAGCGCAACCCAGGAGTCAGGAGAGCTCCCAGCTCCCATGAGGCTCTTCAGACTTCGGACTGTTCGACAAACAAAACAAAGGTCACACAAGCTCGATCACTAACTTCCGGGTATGACATGTACCTCTAACCTGTAGGCCATGTATAGCTACTCCTACTACAACCCTATATCATCTTTTCATACCACCATCGAGTCTGAGAAATCCAGCAGACGACACCATCAGCATCGACCAACATGTCCGTCCTGATCGAGACCTCGCTGGGTGACCTGGTAGTGGATCTCGAGATTGATAGCTGCCCTCGTGTATGCGAGAACTTTCTCAAACTCTGCAAGATCAAGTACTACGGCTTGAATGCGTTCTTCAATGGCAAGTCGCTCCTCCTTATCTTCTCATCATCTCAGAGCTCACCGCTTTGCACCCTATAGTCTCTAAGGATTTCATCGCACAGACAGGAGATCCCACGGCGACGGGAAAGGGCGGTGAATCCTTTGCATCAGCCTACTACTCGCGTCTTCCAGAATCAGAAAAGCGTGGCAGGCCACCACCAGCACGGTACATTGCACCAGAAATCAAAAACTCTTTGAAACATACAGCTCGGGGGACCGTATCCATGGCCGTTGCGCCAACAGGCACATCGGAACAGGGTGGATGTGGTTCACAGTTCTTCATCACGCTGGCGGATAACATTGAATACCTCGACGGCAAACACTCGGTCTTTGGACATGTGGTGGAAGGCTTTGATGTACTGGATAAGCTGAATGACGCCTACGTAGACCAGGATGGAAGACCGCTCAAGGATGTGAGGATACGGCACATTGAGATTCTTGGTACGTCTAGGTTCAAGTGCTGTCGATTCGATTGTCTTACTATATTCTTCATCCGCAGAGGATCCATACGAAGATCCAAAGAACCTGGTGGAACCTCCATCGCCTATACGCCCTCCGGACGACCCATCCGTCAAACCTCGTATCGGTGAAGACGAAGAACTGACAACGGATCTGACCGAGGAGGAGGAAGAGGCACGGAAGCGAGCACAGGAAGCGAACGCCAGTGCATTGACGTTGGAGATGATTGGCGACTTGCCGTTCGCCAACGTTCGACCTCCGGAGAATATTCTCTTTGTTTGGTGAGCCCGCCTCTCTTGTCCTTGTCGGTCTCGTTCTTTTGCTCAAACGTATACCTGGCACCCGCAGCAAACTGAACCCGGTGACGACGGACGAGGATCTCGAGTTGATATTTAGCAGGTTTGGCAGGATTCTGAGTTGCGGTATGTAGAGTGAGATATCACGCTCCAGAACTAGACTGACAGACTGCACGTTTGTGATCAACAGAGGTGATACGCGACAAGAAGACTGGGGATTCTTTACAATATGCATTCATCGAGTTTGATAAACAAGAAGATGTGAGTACATCGCGAGCGAGACTCGGCCGCGACTTGAGCTGATTTCCATTCGATACCGTCTAGGCGGAGATGGTATGCTTCTATTGCAAGTCTTTCCCTTCTGCTGTCCCGCTGACCATCATCCATTGTAGGCATACTTCAAGATGCAAAACACTTTAATTGACGATCGACGTATCTGGGTCGACTTGTGTGTCATCCTGCCCTTTTCTTTTCATCATCCTTTGGCTGATAGACTCCTTGCTTTAGCTCGCAATCCGTGAGCAAGATGGGCGGTGCTGCACGATACCTCTCCGGTGGCGGCGCAGGGGGCGGTGGAGGGGCTCGTGGCGGCCGCGGTCGAGGTGGTCACGGAGGAGGATCAGGCGGAGGACGGGGATCGCATCGCAGCTACGACGCTCGACCCGCTCTCAGTCGAGATGCCGGATACCCCGCACGCCGGAATGACTATGATCTCCTATTCGACAACGATGACCGTCGACGGGAACCGACGGATCGACGTGCGAGTGGCGGTAGGGAAAGGGACAGGCCGAGCAGGGACGACGGTCGTAGAGATCGGAGTCGAAGTCGAAGTCGAGACAAGCATAGGGAGACAAGGCGACCCGAGGGCCGGCATGAACGTAGACGCTCCCGGTCGAGGAGTCCGTATGATAGTAGAGATAGGGATAGGCGTCACCGGGACCGACGCTGAGGTCTCACGCTGTATCCTGCAACTCATCAAGCATACGAATAACAACTTGCATTACTATCCAGATGGCATGCCTTGGCTACAGTAATCTTATCGTTGACACGTCGTCATCCGGCTCTACTTGTACAACAATTCTTATTTACTACAACAAGCCTGCAAATCAGAGGCGAACACAAATCAATCTCAGTTTGTGTTTTTTATATATCTGAGGTCATAGCAAAGAGCGCTGACGAGATCGGGGGCAAAAATGAAAAATCAACCGTTCAAGCGGTGGCTGTCTGCTGGGTGGCAGAGGCGGCAGGGGGCTGCATGCTGGGCGCCTTGCTTCGCTTGGATCGGTAATCCTTGATAGCGGACTGAAAAGGGGTTGCCAACGCCATGTGAGTATTCATACGTCATGGCTTTGCCAATGGGAGACTCACGGTGATGGCATCCTCGGCGAGCATGGAGCAATGCAGCTTGACAGGTGGCAAAGCCAGCTCCTGGGAGATGGTCTTGTTGGTGACCTGAGCTGCCTGATCCAGGGTCATTCCTCGGATAAGCTCGGTTGCGAAAGAAGAGGAAGCGATGGCGCTGCCTGCTCAAGGGAATAAAACATGAGATGCATATCAGAATGAGTACATACTCGGAAAAAACATGCATGGCGGCGAGGCGAGAACTTACCGCATCCGAAAGTCTTGAAGACGGCTTGTTGGATGACACCGTTATCGTCGACCTTGATCTGTAGCTTCATTACGTCGCCACATGCGGGTGCGCCTACGAGACCGGTTCCGACGTCGAGGTCTTTCTTGTTGAATGAGCCGACCTGATTGGGGAAGGGTAGTTTGTCAGTAATGATGAGGCAGGAGACGTTTGGACGCGAAGGATGCGGGGTCGTTGGTCATCCTTGAGACTCTAAGAGGAGCTCGACTGTTCCTGCTCGATCCTTTGGGCCTCCAAGAGTCATGTCTGCACGCCGGCCATATCCCTCAGCCAAAGATCAGTCAACTTACATTCCTTGGGTTCTCGTAGTGGTCTATAACTTTCTCGTGGTACGACCTCTTGGAGGCAACGGATCCCAATACACTTGCTGAAGGTCGAGCCGCTGCGAATCTGGATGCGATCCTAGGTGTGGCGACTACGCTGGATCGTCGAAGGACGTTGGCGGATTGAGTGAGTGCTGATCGGTACATGATGGCGTGTCGTGTGCGATATGTGTAATGTTGTTTTGTGTTTGCAAGTTTAGTTTTCAGCTCTTTTTGAGTCGTTGATAAGAATACGGGAAACCAATGATAGTGGCGGCGAATGCTGTTCGGCTTGAATTCTTGCGATTCGGATTCGGCGGTCTGTGCAATCGAGGGGGCAATGTACACCAAAGAACGAATCAAGTACAGTTTCTTTCTTTTTGAACTTAGTAATGACGTGTTATAGCTGAAACCGCTGAATGTCGATTGGCCCAGCGATCGCAAAACCGTTCTCTCCCTGCGCTTTCCTTCCGCAAAGGCGCGGCTCTCTCCCTACTGCCGACCCAATTCCTGCACGGCGAATTACAGAAACACACGCACGAATAGAGATCTGATCGGTTCATCGTATCGTTCGCAATCCGTCATCTTCCTTTCGCCCTTGCTGCCCAAAATTTTGGCCATCTGTGGACGTGCGATTCGGCAAGCCGACACCACTCTTTACGCCACGGAAACAACTATTTGCTTTGCGGATTCATCGCCTTGCAACACATAATTTAGGAGTAGAAGGCACTGAACATGTTGAGGTCAATCACAAAGTCGAGGGCATTGAGCCGACAAGGTGAGTCACTGTTGCACGGCCATAGTGCCCTGTAAGCCTGGACAGCCGTCTCATTGTGAATAATCTCTGCTTGCGCGTCAACCGATTCATAGGTCGAGCCTTGTTTTCTACATCTGCTGCTCGAAGGGCCGATGTTACTCTAACCATCGATGGAAAAGAGATTACTGTTCCGCAAGGAACCGCCTTGATTCAGGCGTGTGAACAAGCGTGAGTAGGCAGCGTGAATTACGGTGTCCAGTTGGGATCATCTTGTTCCTATCCAAGCTGACACTCTTCTCGCCCGTCTACAGTGGCGCACAGGTTCCTCGATTGTAGGTATTCAGAGGTACAGGCGATTCTTGCAGGACCATTGACGAGATTGCTCCTCTTCTAGCTGTTACCACGACCGACTCGCTATCGCCGGTAACTGTCGGTACGTCATTTACACACACACATACGCAGGCCATAGAACAAGGCTGAGCGATTTGCGTCTTCAGAATGTGTCTCGTTGAAGTTGAAAGGTCACCGAAACCGGTCGCATCGTGTGCCATGCCCGCCATGCCCGGATCCAAGGTCTTTACCAACACTCCTCTGGTTCACAAGGCTCGAG